TAAAATCCATTGCAAGTGATGATGGTTTTCATCATAGGCCTACTATCAGATATTGTACGACATCTCAGTATGAATTGTCCCCATGAAGTGAAGCAGAAATGTGGAAATTGAAGAATAGGTTTTTCTAACTTCAAATTCACAGATCTTTAGCAGCAATCTTAATCTAAACTTTGTTTCTGAATTCATAGGTATACGTCATAAGAGCGAATGATCTAAAGGAGGTGGATGGCGCTCTTAGCCTTCTAAATTTGGATGCACCTCCCAAGCAAAGTGATGCAGGTCCGTAAGTAAATTTTATACCGGTCATATTCTGTGAAACATAGTATATTTTGCGGTCATTAGTGGTCCTTCCAAGCAACTTTATTCCAACTTGTGACATGTCAGAGGGAGCTTCTGCTCATAACTTAAAGAAGCGTCAAAAGAAGTCTCTTCCCTTAACTGTTGTGCATAGGAGGAGACGAAAGGCAGATCTGAGTAAACAACTTCTGGCACTGGAGGCACAGTCGGGAAATGATAGCGATGAGGTTGCTTCAGAAATTTTAGAAGGCTCAAGGTCCTCTGGACTTGCTGTTAATTTTAGAGACATTAAGAGCCTTGAGGAGTTCCACATTTTGGTGAATGGAGTATGCATAGACTCTGAACTTCCTGAAGATATAAGAAGGAAGTACTACGAGTTATGCTGCAATAAAAGCGCTTTTCTTCATGATCGTCTTCTACAAGGCCTCCATTGTAAGTTGGTTGCTGGTGTGATTTTTGAAGTCGTCAACATTGCCGATGCGATAAGAGCTTGCAAGCTCACCACCCAGCGAACGGAATTTGATATATGGGAGAAGTCATTGAAATCTTTTGAACTTCTGGGCATGAATGTTGGATTTCTGAGGACTCGTCTGCGCTGGTTGGTGAGTCTTGCATTTGATTCAGAAGGTGCTTCAGACACCAAGAGGTACTGGGAAGCTAAAAACGAGTGGTCTCGAGCTGAAGATGAGATAAGGAATCTTGAAACAAAACTTGTGGAACTGAAAAAAACTTCTGAAAAATATGGTGCTGATGTTGAGGCTCTGAAATCAAAAGCTGAGAGCTATGAGCTTATGTTCCAAGGAGAAGTTAATGCCCCATGGTAGTGTTCTCTATGTTTCTACTTTATTTTATGCAGTATGCAGCAAATGGAGAATGTCATTAGTAACTCTACATATCAAGCTCATGTTTATTGTACTTTTGACTGCTAAACTCTGCTTTTATTGTGTTGAAGTACTATGTAAGCCTCAAGACCTAGCTAAGATTTTCCAAGGACCCGTGTACCAGCATTTCAAGACTCTATGATCACTGTTTCAGTTTTGTTTGATCATTGGAGTAAAACAAAAATTTCCAAAGGATTGTTTAATACTACCTCCGCTATAATTTTATATCTTGTTTTAGACAAACAAATTTAGTCTAAAACTAAGAAAGCGTTAAATTTTCTTTTTAAATATGTGATGTAGACAAGTTTTTCAACAGTTATTATTCATTTTGAGAAGAATAAATGGTAATTTAGTCAAACAAGTTTTTTTTATTAATACTATTAATTAAAGTGATTTTTCAATGTATGTGCAAAAATCGTCAACGTTGTTTAAAATGGACTAGACAAACATAGTATTATCAAATATCGTCACTTTGAACTGTACCTGAGATATCCAAGAAAATTCATTAAAAACGTTAATGTTGATGATTTTAGGTCAAAAAGAGAAGAGGTTTGATTGGAACATAGAAGGTTTACTCAGGTGAAAGGTCAAAAGTGCCCTTTGACTATGTGAAACTAGAGCTGTCAAATGGGCCGGGCCGAGCCAAGTCTAGCGGGTTTTTAAATTTGGCAGGCTAGGACAGGTCGGCCCACCACATGAACGGGCCTTAAAATGGCCAGCCCAACCCAGTCCTAGGAGGGCCGCGAGCTAGGGCGGGCCAGCCCTTCAATTGTTTTTTAAGAAAAAAGAATTTCTTTAAATCCTTAAATATTTTTTCGTGACATAGTCGATTAATCATGTAAATAACTTGTGTTTGCTTAGAGCATAAAAAAAACTTGATATTTGACGAGGAATCTCGTAATTGAAATGCAACTTCTCTATATCTCTAACTCTTCTTTTTTTAATGTTACATTAATATTTTCTTTCATTTTCCTTAGATTCGGGGATTGCTTCAATAAGTTTAAATGCTGAGGTTTTTTAATTTAGAGTTAATATCATTTGATGATTTCATATTATAGTCCATAAAATATTTAAAATTACTGAAATTTGTTAGTGGTCAATTTTTTTTGTGTATTTAAAATTAATCTTTTTCTATACTAAAGAGCGGTTTAAATATTAATGGTATATTAAAGTAATCCAAATTGATCATTTGGCCAATTAAAGTAATATTTTTTTTGAAAAATAATTATTATTGGCCAACTAAAACTTTTCGAGTTCGTTATTAATTAAGCAAAAGAAAAACTAATTTTGTCATATTACATGCATGTCAAAAATCTAAATTCTAGATGATATGGAATGGTAAATGAGCAATCTAGGGCTGGGGAATGAGGATTATAATTAATAGTTTTTCTAGTTTTTACGTTTTTAAATATTAAATATTTAATAGTTAATTAATTTTATTATTTTTTTGCCCACGGGCCATCCCATGCCCAGCCTCGGTCAAGCCTCAAGGGCCAGCGGGCTGACTTGGGTTGTGCTTATAAGCCTCAGTTTTAAATTGGCTCAAAAAATTCTAGCCCAACCCTACCCAAATAGCGGGCTGGGTTGGGCTGGCCTCACGGGCTAAACCCATTTTGACGGCTCTATGTGAAACAAAGCAATTTTATCCTTCGTTTAATTCTATTCCGGCGGTTACCAAAATGGCTCGAGTTTTTTCTTATGATTAAAAGGCAAATTCATAAACATAAGCAATCAGAACGTAAAAATTGCACGGGGCGCCCTATTTGGGCGCCCCCTTTTAACCTGTAGCCGCTTTGTCTTTCTATTTGCACCCGTACCCACTTTTTAAAAAACTTCAGCTTCCCTTTCCCCTCCCCTTCTCCTCTTCTTCTTCTTCTTCTTCTTCTTCTTCTTCTTCTTCTTCTTCTTCAATACCACAGTTCTTGCTCTTCACTGTAGTTAGTGTTTGAGATAAGCCTTTACAAATAGAATATGAGATTAGAACTTGCTAGTTTCATGCTTTGCGGTAACTGAAGAAGATAGATTTTCTGGATTTAGCTTTGCACGATATGTAATCGTCAGATTTTCATTGACCATTCTAACAAATTTTAACGGGAAATAATATGTAGCTACTTAAACATGATATTTCAAGACTATCCGCCAAAAATTGCTAGATATTTCCATGTAATTCCTTTGATGAATGTACAAGAAACAGTACAAGAAACAAAGACAAAAACTTCAGCTCTAGAGCTGAAGTTTCCTAGTTACAACATAGAAACTTCAGCTCTAGAGCTGAAGTTTCCTAGTTACAACATAGAAACTTCAGCTCTAGAGCTGAAGTTTTTATTTTATAACTGGCAAACTTCTGCTGTAGAGCTGAAGTTTTCCGGTTACAAAGAAAAAAAATTCAGCTCTAGAGCTGAAGTTTTCCAGTACAAAAGAAAAACTTCAGCTCTAGAGCTTAAGTTTTTATTTTATAACTGGAAAACTTAAGCTCTAGAGCTTAAGTTTTTATTTTATAACTGGAAAACTTAAGCTGGAAAACTGCTTAAGTTTTTATTTTATAACTGGAAAACTTAAGCTCTAGAGCTTAAGTTTTTATTTTATAACTGGAAAACTTATTCCGGTTACAAAGACAAAAACTTCAGCTGAAGTTTTCCAGTACAAAAGAAAAACTTCAGCCCCGTGGGCTGAAGTTATGTGAAAAAGCGGGTACGCTTGCAATTTTTTTTGCAAAGCGGGCACAAGTTAAAATGTGGCACAAAAAACGGGTATAGATGCAAATGCCCCAATCAGAACTTTGAAAAAGAAAAAATCTAATATTAATCCAAATATATCTTCCAAAAAGTTATGAAATGGGCAACTCGCCAACTATGGCCAAATTCATATACAGTCATAGAGACTGCCAATTCTGGTACTTGGCCTAAATATATTCATTCATTGACTGGTGGCTCGTATAGCACATTAGCACCATGCCACCATCCAATTGATTTGATATTTTAAAAATAAGAAGAGACAAGCAAATATTAATACAACAACTATATATGGTGATTGGTAATACTTAGCAAAATAGTTAATTAGGATAATCAAGGATTATCGCTAATTTTTGCTGGCACTATATATGCTTTTGTTTGCTGAATTTTTGAACTTTTCTTTTGAAAAATCATTTATTGCATAGAAACATTGTGAAAGGGAAAACGAAAGGACAATGGGACTTAAATCCATATCTACTATGTGGTAAGTTCTCACACATATTCTTTTATTTTTTGTTGAATTTAGAAACTTCACTTGTAAAATAACTTTTCTTTTCATATCATAATTGTATAATCGGTCGTGGGGTTTAATAAATAGGACATCACAATTTGTATAAAATATAAAAATGAATTTAGTAAGAGGGTATCAACTATAGCAAAAGTAACAAAATGGGTGGGGGCTGGGGAAAAAGATAAGTAGAAAAGAGGAAGCTTCTTTGCAAAATGACTTGTGAGGAAAAGAGTAGCTAAGTACGTTTTGACCGGCAGCTCCCACGCTATGGCATTATTTCACTGTAATAAAATTCAATTGCACATTTATCAATTTCTTAGTCAGATTCAGATTGGTAAAAGTGAAATTTAATTTGGAGTTTTGTGCTTCTTCCCTTCCAGCTGTTCCCCCTCTGTCATTTTGACTGCTTGACTTCCTTGTCTATTTTTTATTACTACTAATAACAATATGGTTGGGGGAAAAAACAAGGAAATTAGAAATAATTTGTCATGTACTATACTAGTATTAGCATTTAGGAACAATAGTACTAGTATAGTTTGTATGCACTAAGTACTAAATAGCATGTCAACAAGAATTCACTGCGATGGAAAAGGGGCAGTGGCCTGGGGGTCGCCTTCTCAATCATCAATCATTTATAGAGCCGCAATGCACTATAGCTGTCATTTCATCTGGAAATTTTGAGATGAAAATTATGATTCAACAATCTCATTTGCCAATTTTCTAAAACCCCCCAAATTCTACTACCAGTACATATTTAACAGTTGATTGAAACGAAAGAACACCATAGGACAAACGAATCCAAGGCTTGTAATTAATATAAATCAGAATCTGTATGATTCTCCCAAAAAAAACAGAAGCCTTTTCATCCCAAATACCTTGTTAAAATCTTTGTTATGTCCACTGCAGACAATATCAATTAAAACGAAACTCCATGTCTCTACAACTGGATCCAGTACCAGAACCATTGTATGCTTCCTGCAGAAAAGAACACTCATATCAAAGTCTTGATTTTACTAGACTAAAAATATCTCTCTCTATATATATATATATAAATGTACCTACCCGGGAATTGTTGTGAACTAGCTCGTCAGACCTCTTCTCTTCATTTTTCTTGGACCCAATATGAGATTTTTTCAGGCCAAGTAGACCTTTCCACCTAGTAGAACTACTACTACTTTTGGGTATCCTCAAAGTAAAATCATCTTCGTCATTATTAAGGAGCTCATCTCTTAGAGTAGTAGTAGAAGTAGAAGTAGTAGTAGTAGTAGTAGTCGTCTTCTTCTCTTTGAAAGGCAAAAGCCTACCCTTAGAGAAAAGCTCGTCAGCACCAGTAATCATAGAATGATTAGCGACGGAGAATTCAAAGTCAGAGGAAACAGGAGCATCTCTGTAGTAGGACGTTGTATCATTCTTCATAATATGTTGATGATGTTGTTGTTGAGATAAATCGATGAAGTCATTAGAGAAGGAGATTCTAGGACTAGTCATTGAAGAAAATAACTTGTGGTGGTCAGCGGAGTTATTTTTGTTGTTGTACATATTTTTGTAAGCTTGCCATGAATGAAGAGGACAAGTATGAGACCAACATATTGGTACTAATCTGAGGTGGTATTGCAAAATAAGACCCCAACCACCCTCACCATAGGGGACCCTCTTTCTCTGTTACTTACCCACCACTAGGTGTTTGTATTTATATCATCACCAGTAGAGGCCCTGCGATCTTGGAGCCACAACAACCAAGGGGCAGGGGGAGCTTTTTCTTTACAAATTTGGTCAAAACTAATTGTATTTGTTAGTCAAAAAAGTACCTAAAATATAGTACAATTTATATGAACCTGTTTGACTGGGCACGGAGTTTAAGAAAAACATGAAGATTTTTGAATTTGTTATCCTTAAGGAATCAAAAAGGATCCAAAGTATTTGTATGGTTATAAAAGCTTCTCATTAAAGGTAGAATTGAATGTTTAAGCTAAATTGCTTCAAAATTTAGAAAGGGGTCATTCTTTTTTAAAAGGTCCAAAAAGGAAATAGGTTTACATAAACCGTAATATAATACATATGCATACAAAAAAAATATTTTGTTGCTTGATAATAGGCTATATAGACGATATTTACACCCTAAGTGTACCATGCTTTATTGTTGTTTGAAAGGCTAAATGATAATTGGTGTTCTTTTGCTTCGCAGGGATTAATCCAAGTTAGGAAGAACTATGGAGTGTCTTGGAGTCAATAATGTGGAAAAAAAGGCCAATCAAGAAGCACCCGAGCGGAAAGAAGCAAAAAAAGAGGACTGGGATTGAGCCACTGCGACCGTGGTCGACCGCGGCTGGACCACGGTAAGCTAATGAAGCGAGGCAGAATGATAGGCTCTCACCGCGGTCGCGCCGCGTTTTGCCGCGGCCGCGGTGAACTGTGCAGCTGCCTGGAACTTTTGGGACCAAAGTGTAAATCGGGAAAAACTTATTCCAAACCCTTATAAACTCAAGAAGCTCGCCCAAGAAAAAAAAAAGAGCTTGTTTTTAGACTATTGTGGAGGCAAGAACAAGTGTGAGAAGAGCAACCAACCATTAGAGTTTTTCTATCTTCTCTTTATTATTTCAATTGCACATTATGAACAATTTAGTAGTTTTATCTTGTTTGGTTATGAGTAGCTAATTCCTTAATCTAGGGTTTTGATGGAACCTATTGAAGGATGAACTTCTTGTTATGTTAGTATAGTTTGCCCAGTTTATTCTCTATTTGTTCAACTGCGTCCTTGTTGTAGTTAATTGATAGGATCCTCAATTAGCTGTGCCTTTTTAGTGTGCATAACTCGGGAGAGAGTGCATATTTAGGTAGTTGTTGAATAATACCACCCCCAAAGTATATGAGGGATCAATAACCGAGGGTTCAAAGGCGGGATTAGGAATAACGAAGTCGTGGGTGCAATCTAAAGTGAGCTGTAATAAACAAAGCCAGCTAGCGTAACTCGGGAGAGTGCGTCTAGTAAATTTTCGTGATTACTCGGGAGAGATTTACGGTAATGAGAGTGCTTATGATTGATAGAGAAGATTAGGCGAATCTATATGAAACATAACCGGAAGGAATTCCATCAATAGGGAAAATCATAACCTTAGATCCTTCTCTTAATTGTTTACAACTTAATCATAGTTAGTATTTATTTGCTTAATTACAATCAGTCTTAGTTAGTAGAAACATCATCAATTATATTCAAAACGTTTGGGAAGTTGATTACGTAGAATTTCGTAAGTCTAACGAGAGTAGTTGATAGGTTAATTCCTTGTGGGTTCGACTCTGGGCTAAATACTCAGATTATATTTGCAACGTCCGCTTAGTCCTTTTTATAAGGCATAGTTGGGCGTGATCAAATTTTGCTCTGGTGCCCAAGTCAGTGACAGAAGTGCGGAGAAAAAGATTATGGGATGGCTTCGAGCGCTTGGACGAGCATGTCACCTCGATCCTGGCACCGTCTCCGATCAGGATTGAGCTTTAGGGAAGTCCCCTTACCTTACTCTACTTTATATTTGTTGACATGGGGACATGCCAAAATTTTAAGTGTGGAGCGGGGGATGGCTGTTGTTGTAAAAAGACTGTATAACTTTGTATGATGTTGCTTTCTTTTTGATTGTTTGGTATTTTAGGGTCATGTTAGTTAACTTCAACTTGGCCCGAAGACGGACACCTTTCGACAGGTCTCTTGAGGGACATTAGTCGAACAAAAATAAATAAAAAAACAAAAAAAAGGGAATATAAGGACTCTTCCTGATGATGGATCCTTTAGACAATTTCTTGAGGGAAGTACGTTTAAAAAAAACCAAAAAGAATTTTTATTTTAGGTAGTGTAGTAACTCCCCCTTGGTTTTTTTTTGGGGGGGCCACGGTTCTTTTCCAAGGGTTTAGCTGAACCGGGTGTAGGTAGTATTTTTTTTGTTTATTTTGTTTTTAGTTTTTAGTTAGTATTGATGGGTTACGAGCTGAAATAGAAAGAGAAACCCTTGGCGTTAATACACCTGAACACAGTAGACAATAGAGTGTAACACTTAGTCTCATTGGTTGACTCTTGCTAAAGTGCCTTAAATTTGTATGTTTGTAACTGACTTGAACACTCAAAAGAGAGTGTCTTGATAAATCAATCTGGAGTGAGTCATGAGCCATGTGTGTGTGAGCTGTACTGTATTCTATGCCTTCATTTGATGCCTAGAACTTGCCCTGTGTGTTTACAAAGCGAAATAGTAGCTTCATTCAGTCTTAGAAGTGATATAGGCATTTCTTTGTTAAGCCAGATATATAAAGTAGACCCACCTAAACGTAATACATCGTAGTTAACCCCGTTGAGCCTATAAGCCTGTTTCTTTGGCAACCACATTGCGAACATTACTCAATTGTTTGAATAGCCATTTGTTTGAACCCCTTTTACCTCCCATGAGCACTTGAATGGCCTTGAAATATGCAAAAGTTAAAGTGTGGGGTGGTGGTTTGATTTTTGAGTGGAACCAATGAAATAGAGGAAAGGTGCAGTTTTTGGAAAAGTAAAAGAAGAAGCACCACTTAAAGGAAAAGAAAAAAGAGAATGAATAAATGTAGTAGTTGATAAGTAGTGGCTTGATATAAATGCACCAAAAGAAAGGGGATGTTATAAATGTGGTGGAACGTCTGGTTGACATAAGTATGATTTTGGAGGTTAATGTGACTGTATTAAAAGTGCTTAGGGAGGTTAGTCACTATATCCAAATATATCCTACCCATCCCTTAGCCTGTATTACAACCAAGTGAAGTCCTAATTGATCTTAGACTGAATAGGCTCGATTAGTAGAGTAGTACACTACGGGCAAGGTTATGGTGCGTCTTTGTGGCATGTGAATGTTCTTTTTGAGAGTGAGTGAATTTTGTCTATCTGAGTTCCTAATTGTTCTTAATAATATTATTTGTGGAACTACTCTCTTGTGTGACGTGAGGGCATGTGATTCACGAAGGAAAGGTAAGTCTTGACCTATGTATAGAGTAGTTTGAGTAAGTATGAATATTGCACGGCACTTGAGATTCGACTTTTGAGGCAAAGGTTGTTCACTGCTAGGTGCAACTTTGGTGAATTTTTCTTGGTGTGATACGTTAAGGGAAAAGCTTGGGGAAGGAACTTTGATAGAGTGTGGTGGATTGCTCGAGGACTAGCAATGATTTAAGTGTGGGGTGTTGATAATAGGCTATATAGACGATATTTACACCCTAAATGTACCATGCTTTATTGTTGTCTGAAAGGCTAAATGATAACAAAATGCTCTAATTGGTGTTCTTTTGCTTCGCAGGGATTAATCCAAGTTAGGAAGAACTATGAAGTGTTTTGAAGTAATAATGTGGAAAAAAAGGCCAATCAAGAAGCACCCGAGCGGAAAGAAGCAAAAAAAGACTAGGCTTGAGCGACCGCGATCGACCGCGGCTGGACCGCGACAAACTATTGAAGTAAGGCAGAATGATAGGCTCTCACCGCGGTCGCGCCGCGTTTTGCCGCGGCCGCGGTGAACTGTGCAGCTGCACAGAACTTTTGGGACCAAAGTGTAAATCGGAAAAAATTTATTCCAAACCCTTATAAACTCAAGAAGCTCGCCCAAGAAAAAAAAAGCTTGTTTTTAGACTATTGTGGAGGCAAGAACAAGTGTGAGAAGAGCAACCAACCATTAGAGTTTTTCTATCTTCTCTTTATTATTTCAATTGCACATTATGAACAATTTAGTAGTTTTATCTTGTTTGGTTATGAGTAGCTAATTCCTTAATCTAGGATTTTGATGGAACCTATTGAAGGATGAACTTCTTGTTATGTTAATATAGTTTGCCCAGTTTATTCTCTATTTGTTCAACTGCGTTCTTGTTGTAGTTAATTGATAGGATCCTCAATTAGTTGTGCCTATTTAGTGTGCATAACTCGGGAGAGAGTGCATATTTAGGTAGTTATTGAACAACACCACTTCCAAAGTATATGAGGGATCAATAACGTAACCGAGGATTTAAAGGCGGGATTAGGGATAACGAAGCCTTGGGTGCAATCTAACGTGAGCTGTAATAAACAAAGCCAGCTAGCGTAACTCGGGAGAGTGCGTCTAGTAAATTGTCGTGATTACTCGGGAGAGATTTATGGTAATAAGGGTGCTCATGATTGATAGAGACGATTAGGCGAATCTATGTGAAACATAACCGGAAGGAATTCCATCAATAGGGGAAATCATAACCTTAGATCCTTCTCTTAATTGTTTACAACTTAATCATAGTTAGTCTTTATTTGCTTAATTACAGTCAGTCTTAGTTAGTAGAAACATCCTCAATTGTATTCAAAACGTTTGGGAAGTTGATTACGTAGAATTTCGTAAGTCTAACGAGAGTAGTTGATAGGTTAATTCCTTGTGGGTTCGACTTTGGGCTAAATACTCAGATTATATTTGCAACGTCCGCTTAGTCCTTTTTATAAGGCATAGTTGGGCGTGATCAAATTTTGCTCTGGTGCCCAAGTCAGTGACAGAAGTGCGGAGAAAAAGATTATGGGATGGCTTCGAGCGCTTGGACGAGCATGTCACTGTTATCCCCCCCCCCCCCCTCCAAAATTGTTGTTCTTTTCCTTTTCCAAAGCTTTTCAAACCCAATTTTCCTCTTTCTTACTAATCACCCAAAAATCTCTCTTTCTTATTGATACAA